TGAAAGGCTGGCATTGTTTGCTGCAAATCCGGATGGACCTGGCATCCCAGCAGATGTGAGCTTATTGACTCTTCTTTTGTTTATTATTTGTTTACATTGAATTGTGGCTTGTTTTAGATTCAGCTGTTCGACATTTTCTCTGAGCAAGCAAAAAATCTCGTCAAAAATCGAACCGAAATGCCTATGGAGGACATTGTGTCACTTTATGTAAGCAACAGCTCCGATCCACTTACACAGTAGTAGTTCACAGTGTGCAGTTCGTGCTTCACTCTTGATTTTTAAGGCCGCTTTGGTCAGCTTAGCTATTAAATGTTACCCAAATCGGCCAGAGTTCGCAAACACATCATTTGGAAGTTTGAAATGCATTTTGGAGGAGAAGAAGAAAACTGCGTACGTTTATATTTTCCTTTCTCATTAAATTGAGTTGCGTTTTAAGCACCGTTCATGCTTCGAGATGGTGCCCGTCGACGTGCCACAATTGCAGCAGCGCTGCAGTGCTAAAGACGCGAACGCAGCCTATTGGCACTGGGCGCTAGTGCTTTGGGAGAGTATAGAAGAATAGGAGGGTACCAGATTGTAAGAAGGCAGCGCATACCCTCCTGCTATCCTATAATCTATCGAATCACTAGCCGGCTCGAATCCGATCTGAGGCGGCGTTAGCATCTTTAGCACTGGCGTGCTGTTGCATTTTTAGCGCGTTACAGCGCATCGACGCGCATCATCATCGCGAAGCCATAGGCGAGCGCGCTGAAAGAAAAGGTTCTGTCTACTTACTTTCAGCATTGAACCATTCGATCCTGTTGGTCGAGAACTGATGAAACTTATCCGATTACCGATAGATGAGTACAATAATGCTTTAAAAATTGCTGGCCTCACCGAGTTTGTCCCAGTAATGGAAGAGCTTCAAGTATCATGGACGTTGTTTGGCTGCGTCACATATCATTCAGGTATCAGCCCTTCAGATCAATTTACCTGGCTTTTAAGATTATGCGTTGGGTTGAAAAGAGGAGGAACGTCTTAAAGAGCTGCTAAGGTGACGCTGTTGGACACTAGGCCAAGGAAAAAGGTGGCATAAGTAACATCTGAATCAAGCACACCGCCCCCTGCACCATTTTCGTCTGCGTAGGAGGATAGACCGGATCGAGGTGGGAACTGATTGAGGTAGTTGTAATGAATAGGGATAAAAATTCACGCATAATGATGCGTGGCGCTTAGCTTATGCATTATGTCAATTTTTGAACCTACCCGAGGACGTTCTGTACGAATATTGAGCATCCTACCCAAGCTCTTTTGGAATGCGCATACCCTTATCAACTTTCCTTCCGATTCGTGGTAAAACCCCGCAGCCCCCCCTTTCCAATGTCCAGAAACATTATTCATCCTTTACAGAAACGAGGTTGGCGTCCACAAAAGTACCGTTGAGAATAAGTAGTCGTTTCGAAGGAAAGCATTATTCTAACTTTACGTTCTGAAATCTTCGCGATTACCTCAGTTCTGCTTCCGAACCCTTGTCGTTGAGTCGATTCTCAAGAGTATATATGAATTTCAAATTATCCAAAAAATGTCCGAAAATCACAAAGTTAAAAGATGAAATCTCGCTGTGTTTCACCCTCTAAATTGTAGCGTGAAGCTATGATCAGTTGTCAGCGTTTGTAGGCGATTAAAAGTCTTTTTCACAGCGATTCTTCTCTAGCATTCCAGCGATTCTTCTCTAGCACTCCCGTGACTTTCTGGTGAGAAGTTAAGCTGCAGCATCTCTTATGCTCGAAATCCCTGTAAGTCTCTGCCTCAACACTTGGCCCCTGAATAGTCTGCTTCAGGAAAAACAATCGAGCACAGTGGTAATTATAAAGAACTCAACGCAATTATCGAAGTTAGTTTCTGACCGACTTTTCAGAACTGACCTGGGACACGCTTTCTTTTTTGAATTCTGCGTTCGAATAGATTTGAAGTTGAAGTACCGGAAGTTCAGGCTCATTCCTGTGAGCGCTAATTTCCCATTTCCTTCAGAATATGCTAGAACACGGAACGTTGATGAGAACTGAAGAAGACGTTGCGGTCATGTGTGCTATGTTGCATTCCTTACTGGTAGATGAACAAGATCAACCCCCTAATGCATCGGTTTGTTGTCCATCTGGTCTTTATTATACTTAAGCTCTCAATTTTATGTGACAATTATTTGCAGTTCCATTGTAAAATGCTCTTTAGGAAACTGAAGATTTTGAAGATGAGCAGCATTTAGTGGCTCGCTTTGTTCATCTCATTCAAGCTGACACACCTGATGAGCAGTTTTTGGTTTGTGAAGGCTACTATTTGAATTGAAAACATTTATTGCGTTCTAGTTTACAATTCATTCACTGTGTTTTCAGTTGTTGAATAATGCAAGAAAGATTTTGGGTGCTGGTGGAAAAGCTCGAATAAAATACACTCTAACTCCGATTATATTCGAACTCTAT